TGAAAATATAGTGAAATTATTACTTTATAGGGCCGAAATAAAGAAAAATTCAATGTTGAAATAATTTTCCGTTTTTCTGAAAAACGGTAAGAGACCGCCAAAAAAAAATAGATTCGTAATCTACGACCTCAAAATAGTGTGTATACCAATTTTGGTAAAAATCGGACGATTTCCAGTTTTCCCAATAATTACCACATTTTTATTATTTTACAGGTAACACCTAACAATTTCATAATAATGATTATTTTTTTTTACAGATGGATGTAAGAAGCTTTTATTTTTATTGTTTCAGTGATCCAGGGGGGGGGGGGCAAATGCTTCCTCTTGCCCCCTGTCCGGCGCCCATGAGTCACTGAGAAAATATGAAGGATTGAAATATGAAAAGTTTATTTAACCATTTATCAGAGTAAATGATAAGGGTAAATTCCTTCGACCAATTTGCTGTTTTTTCTTATTATTTCTAGATATTTACGCATTTTTTCACTGGCCACAAGGTTGAACGATCAGGTGGGGTAGTTGCTAAATTAGATATTGTTTGTATACAGGTTAAAATCGAATTTATAAAACAAAATATGAATGCATTGAAGATATTCCTTATACCTATGTTTAAACGCATTTTTGCTTAAGTGTAGTAAAGTAATTCTGTATTTAATGAATTATGATTTTTTTGGCATTAAATGAAAACCCGCGTTGAAAGGTGGCTTTGATAATGGGGCATTGTCAACGCACCTCCATTCCTAATATTAACATCGTGTATGTGACGTCTAAAAATTAAACGCTCTTTAATAGATCGACGAGCGGCAGGTTGTTAATAATTTTCACAACAAATGTAGAGGGTGAGTCAACGATAGAGTAAATAAAGGCCATTATCTCATTTTTTTCGAGGTTTACATATAGCCGGATCCTGCATTATAACCTTTAGTTTTAGTAATCTCTGTAAATTCACACAATATTTTTTGAACAATAAGGAATTAATAAATTTATTTCAGGACATATACAGGGTTGTTCACCACATACGACACGGAGTATTGTAGCTAAACGATTAGATTTTTACAAATTTTAAGTTTTGGGTTCGTTGAAGGACTATTAGAGCTACAATTTAGAAATAATTTTACAAGATACAGAGTGTCCCAAATAAGTAAAAAATGCTATAGTTGTATTTTTTTAAATGGAACACCCTGTATATTATTCTATTTTTAGATTCTACGATTGAAATAAAGGTAAATTTTATTAAGGTTTATCACACTTAAACCTTACCGTTTTTGAAATATTTTCGATTTTGTGAAATTGCAGTAAAAATTTTAAGGCTTCATTTCTCCAAGGGTATCAAAGTTTTTAATACTAAATATTTACTGAAGTTTATTTATTGATCAGTTATTGTGTTGCAATAATAAAAATTATACTACCTTGTACAGAGTGTCTAAAATTTTATTTTAAATAATTACTAGCTTTAAACGGCAATAACTTGTTTAATTTAAATGGAAGGCCCTGTATATTTTAGGAGAATCAGATGCATAATTTAATTGTCTATAAAATTGTATTATGCCACTTTTTACCTATCCCTTCAAGTTTTCGTAGAAAATGCATTTTCTTATAATTTAGACCTCATTTATCAATATACCCATGGAATATTGACATTTTAGATTGGTTTTAAAGCAACAAATGTACAAAATGTACAGGCTAGTAATATTATCGTTTTTAGCAAAATGATAATATTACTAGCCCATTTGTATGCAAAAAGAAAACTATTTAAATCTTCATAAAAGAGTATATCATTAATTAAATATACCACCATTATTTCCGCCCAAATACTAATTAATTACATACTTAATTATATTCGTGAATAAATTATTCTAAATAAATGCGGATTTGAATCAGAAATCAATATAATAATAAGTTATAAAAATGAATGTTTCTGTTGTTACAAATAAGCATTTATCAAAAAATGAAATATCATTTTTAAGGTGTTACTTTTTACCACACTGTCTAATACACATAAAAATTCAGTTTGTTATTTTTTGGAGCAATTATTATTAATCAACGTAAACAGTCAATTAATGTAGTTTGAATACTGGAATCATACATATTAATTGGTCCTCTTTAACAAATATTTAAACAGTTTTTTTTTATTTTTTAATGAAATAAACGAATTATATCCACAATATTAGTATCTGTACTCTTTAAAAATTTGGTACATCTTTAAAAATAATCTAAAATGTCAGTATTCTATGGGTATATTGATAAATGAATTTAAAATTACATGAAAATGCATTTTCTACGGAAACTTGAAGCTATAGGTAAAAAATGGTATAATACAATTTGATAGACAATTAAAATGTGCATCTGATTCTCATAAAATATACAGGGTGTTCCATTTAAATTTTACAACTTATTGCCGTTTAAAGCTAGTAATTATGTAAAATAAAATTTTAGACACTCTGTATAAGGTAGTATAATTTTTATTATTGCAACACAATAACTGATAAATAAATAAACTTCAGTAAATATTTAGTATTAAAAACTTTGATACCCTTGGAGAAATGAAGCCTTAAAATTTTGACTGCAATTTCACAAAATTGGAAATATTTCAAAAACGGTAAGGTTTAAGTGTAATAAACCTTTATCAAATTTACCTTTATTTTAATCGTAGAAACTAAAAATGTAATAATATACAGGGTGTTCCATTTAAAAAAATACAACTTTGATATTTTTATTTATTTGGGACACTCTGTATCTTGTAAAAATATTTTTAAATTGTAGCTCTAATAGTCCTTCAACGAACCCAAAACTTACAATTTGTAAAAATCTAATCGTTTAGCTACAATACTCCGTGTCGTATGTGGTGAACAACCCTGTATAGCTGTCTAATTTATCATCAGATAAAACCAGTTTTATTTAGATTATTAATCTCTATCATCTTTTAATATTTTTATAAATATTTGGTTATTAATATATCTATGGCTAAGCGATTGTGAAAAATGTGGTTTGTATTCTTTATTTTTAATTTTTATTTTGTTGACTGAATATCACTTTAATATCAGTCATTCTTCTTTATTCTGGCATTTCGGGTTTTTCGCGAATAACAAAGCAAGGGGACTGTTCTGAAAGCTATTAAAAATCGGTCAATCAAAGATACCTACGCTGTTGGTTTAAAATTTTTAATAAAAGGAGAATCATCTGTTTTTGAGTTATGTAGATAAATAGTAAAAAAAATCTGATTACAAACCAATAGTAAATTGGTTAAAAATGAAAATTTAGAGGAAATTGACACGTATGTTTGTAAATTAAAACCAATTTCTGGTATAGGAATCTACAGGGTGTCCCACTTAAGATCGATACAAGCCAATATCTTGGTTGTTTGTTGAGCGATCTTTTTCATTTTTGGCAGGAGGCTGTATGACTATAAGACGTACATTTTGCCTAGGGCAAGAAATGCGATACCTCATAGACGTACGTTTTAATGAGGTTTGATATTTTTCGAGTTAAGAGTAAACTACCCTTAGGACAGTATTTATTTCAAATCTGATAAATTATATTGAATTCTTCTTCCCTAAGATACTTAAGTTCTAATTTTTATAAATATTGATACAGGGTGTGTCATTAAAATAAGACATTTTTATTTTTATTATTATTTTTTAAGTACTTACGACGCCCCTGGATAAACAACTTTATTATCAATAACCAATTATAACCACTTATTAATTAATAATCGATTTAAGTTTTCAGATAGCTTCCATAATAATTAAGATACGATACAAAAAAACTAAATATTTTCAATTTATTTTGTTTACTTTAAAAGATTGTTTTTTAAGTTTGCTAATACAAATGAATAAAATGAGTTACAAAATAATGTAAAACCCAGTTTTTATTGGAATCTGAAATATGATTTTTATTCGTTTTATTGAGGAATATTTAAAAAAAAATCCAAATAGTTATTTAAAACAATCACTATTAACTTTGAAAAATATGTTCTAAACAAAGATTTATAAAATTATAAGGAAGTGAAAGTCAACATCTTCGACCAAACTTAAGTAGGACACCCTATATATTTGTGTTAAAAAATAGAAAATATTACAGGAGACTTATTTATTTTGTTTGTAAACACTATAACGTAGTTTCAGTCATCTTTCTAAATTGACACGGTAATTATTTGGAATAATAATTTGAGTCTATTAAGTAGCGTCGTACATATAGATGTACCATGAGTCTTGAGTATAGGGGGGAGCCACTTTTTAACCACTATAATCTAGTTTTAGTACACATATCCGTCGCTAAGCAGTTGTCAAAGACTGAGTTTCCTTTATTCTTTCTTTTTAATTTTTTCATCGTTCGCTGAACATCAATTTAATATCCGTGGTTTGTCTTTTTTATCGATTAACAAGGGAATATTCTGAAAGCTTTAAAATATTAGCTTTAATTTTAATTAAAAATCGCTTAATCGAAATTACATTTTTTCTATTAAAAATATTTATAAAAGGAGAATCATCTATTGCTGAGTTATGAAAAATATAAATGAAACTTATTACAAAGTATGATCGATTGGCTTTTAAACTGCTACAAACTAAAGATTTAAAGTAAACTGAATCTTTTATAATAAACGCTATAAAAACTATTCAGTCTAAATAGAAAAAAATATCAGAAAAGTAACTAGACAATTTGGAATTATTGTTCTTATTGTTCATAACATTATTATTTATTGCTACAAGAACTATTTAATTTAAGTTTATTGTAGTTCTAAACTCCCATTAATATTCCTACTAGGACTATTATTTCAAGCTATAGTCTTTTGGTTATCAGATCTATAAATTCAGATATTCTTAATTCCACTTAGACATAATTCAGATTCAGATAGCAAGATAAACAATATCAGAAATCACATTTATAATTATTATATTATACAATATTATCGAAAAAATATACGGTATTTTATAATTACTTTCTCAAGAATAAAATGTTCAAAGTAACATAAATATTTTGTTAAAAGATTTGTTTTGTTACAGGATTTATCATGACCATCGCATATGCTATGATGGGAAAAACCCTATGCACTCCGATTCCACAATTTGATAACACCGAATCGGCTTGTATACAGCAAGTAAGTACATGACAAATAATCATACCGGGTGTTGCATCGTCGAGCAGGACATAGGAAATCCCATGTAAATTTTAATGGAGGCTTCCCTAATTATTTTAGAGAATAATTCTATTTAGGTTCATTGAAGAGCACTAAAACCCACATTCAAAAGGATAACTTTAGATATTTTTGATTAGCCCGTTTACGAGTTATCGCCGATTTATTTTTAAATATTTCTCCTTTCTTATGGCCCTGTATTTACTTATGAGCACCAGCCAAGGTAAAAGATAACTGTCAAGTGAAGTTGTCATTTCAGAAATTTATCTATTTAGTGCTTTATTATTATTATTAAAAACTCATACCTACATCGAAAATATTAGCCATGAATTACACTACCGAAGAAAAAGTATTGATGATTAAATGGTATTATCAAGGAAATAGTTATCAAAAGGTGTCGGACATGTTTGCTGCTCTGTATCCGAATAGACCAATACCTGGAAAATCTCCAGAGATTTGAGACCAAAGGCACCCTAATAAATAACTGCAGATGTGAAGCAAGGCAGGAACAAAGAGAAGATGCAAGAAATGATACCGACTTGGAAGTTTTATTGTGCGTGGAAGAGAACGATGGAAAGATCAGCACAAGGAAACTTGAGGATGAAATAGGAATAGATTACACTACAGCGTTTCGAATTTTGAAACGACATAAATACTATTCCTTCAAATATGAAAAACACCAAGAGCTACGAGATGGGGACGAAATACGGCGGCAGGCGTTTTGTTTTGATATGATGGAAAGAGCAAACACGGATAGGGAATTTTTAAAAAACATATGTTTCACTGACGAATGCACGTTTACCTTAAATAATGAACCCAATGTTCAAAATTATCGATATTGGAACAAAGAAAACCAACACAGGTTTGTCGAAACAAGGACGCAATATCCACAGAAAGTAAATGTTTGGGATATTCGGACACAATATTATCGGGCCATTATTTCTTACGCGAAATTTAAATGCAGAATATTATTTGGAACTACACGAAAATCATATTTTACCTGCTTTACATGATGCCGCTAGGAAAAATCAGGAAGTTTGGTACCAAATGGATGGCTGCCTGGCACATAGTACCCTGGCTGTTCGGGAATATTTAGACAATAGTTTTAACGGAAACAAGACAAAAATATAAACGGTTGAAAACAAATTTGTGACAAATCAAAGACATTTCTGTTGTATAGAGTGTATGTTAAGATGTGCATTGTTATCTGTTCAATTTTAATTTAAAAAAAGATGCAGTTTTTCTTAAATTACTTAAAATCGGCTTATCCAAAATTGTTCAAATTTTGCATGCGTATTCAGCATAGGCGGACCTTTAAAAAAAATCTTTTTTCTATAGCAACTGTTAAAATTGTCTTATATCTATCAAAAATAGTAGATAAAATAGTATTTTATCCGCTAGAGTAGATTAAATGATACTTTAACAGTGAGGATAGGTTAAAAACTTTATTTGTTCTTGCACGTTTTTTAATTGCTTCCATTTTTAATTTTTGTATTCCTTTTCATAAGTTATTCGGGATTTCAATGGAAGTAGTTTGGATATGGCGTTTGTCGCCTCAGCCGGAATATCTGTTGCTAATTTACTTATTTCGTTTTCAGCCATTTCTGGCTCCAATTCAATCAGCAATCGACGCGAAAGAGAATTAAAAAATATTGACTCAAAACTGACAACTGAAGAGACAGCTTTATTTATTTGTCAAATTACATAGAAACCAACGCCAACCCAGCAGAATATATTTTCTACTCATAATAAATTCCTTGAAATATTAATTTCAAATATATGGTGTTTCAAAAAAAAATCTGGAAACTTGCCCAAAGAGGTTGTTGCATAAAAATAATATAAAAATATGCGAATAAATGAAATGAAATCGATATTGAAATGTAACGCGGAAAATTTAAAATTCATTCAAATACGTTTGATATGAAAGCTGATTTCCATCAAAATACTCGATATGATATTCAAAGTTACAAATTTTCCCTGTTTCAAAATCGGTTTAGGAAAAAGAGGAGACCGCAACGCGGGAAACCTCACACACTGGCGAATTTCTAAAAATTCCTGACCAAAACCTAAAATATGAAAGTTGATTTGCTTTTAACATTTATTGAATTGTTTGCTTATCAAGGTACAGGGTGGTCCAAATTGGACGCTTTTAAAGGGAAACTCTCTTTTCTATACGTACGAGTTAGACGAAAACTAATATTGGTGTCTGGAGCTCATTTTTTCTCAAAATATGATGGTGAAAACCGCACATCACTATTTGTTACGGTTTCAGAGTTACGGCGGCAAAGTTACGGGATGTTTGTGTTAAAATGTGCCTTTTGCTATGTAAAATTTTGTGTTTTTATAAAAAACCTTTTTACACAGAATTTAATGGTTTAAGTATAATTTTTTAAGATTAATAATTTAAAAATTATCAACCCTTTTTGTTTAAATGTAAACCTAAAGTATCTATTAGAATGTATTTCATGAAAATATTTTAACTTCTACAGGATGGTTCAACTTTTTTTTTGTGACTGTACTTTATCACTTAACCCATTATTTTCATATAAATAATTTAATTTTGATTAAAGAAATTTATCTACCATTTTTTTTTCAATTAATTAAATAAATAAATAAATAATATATATAAATATAATAGAATAAATGTCTTTATTATCTAAAAAATTTACAATTTGTAGACAAAGGTAAAGTAAACAAACGAAAGAGAATACAAAACAAGTATACAAATTACATTGTCAGTCTTATTGTTTAAAATAAACATTTATAAATGTTTACAATGTCAAAGAATAAAAAAATAAAAATAAGATTCAAAAATATTTAGTAAGTTTCTAGTAAATTTAGTAATAGCAAATATTAGACCAGTGTTTACAAGATCAAATTTGATTATCAAAATATAAGTCATTTACTGCGTAGAAAGCCTTGTCTAGTAAATAAAATTTCAATGCTTTGCGAAATGAAGAAAATGATGTTATGGATTTGATTTCAAATGGCAGGTGATTGTGTATTTTTTCGAATTGTATAATATTGAACTTTTAACTAACTCTGAGCGTGGGGTAGGTAGATAAAGATCTCGCTCCGCGTTTCTGAGTGGATAAGTGTGAGATGGCCTTTCTTGAGAAGCTGATACATGCTTACGTATTAGGCAAACGGATTCAAATATAAATAAGGAAGGAAAAAAGTCCTTGCAATGAGTTCTGCTGTTTATAGTCCCAGTGAATATCGAACAGCTCTTCTGGAGCTTGAAAATGCAGTCAAATTGAGTCGCACGATCAGGCGACTCCAATTTTGATAGCGAAATTCAGTTAATATGATTTATTTTAGGGGTTTTGGCCAGGTTTTCGAAAAATTACGCCTGTGTGTACCTAAATCGAATAAAATATTTTCAGTTTGTCTGTCGAAAAGGGTTTTCCTCGATATCGCTTGACGCGGCAAATAAAGAAAAATTGTTCAAAAAGGACCAACGAGGACATTTTCATAAAATCTTGTTTTCGCCGGATAGTCCTGGCAATTCTCCTACCGCTGAAGAAAGGAAGGTAAACATAATATTGAATTTATGAGAAATAACGTTTTTGGGAAGTTTCCTATAAAAATGGTAAAATTAAATTTAGTTCCCGTAAAAATAATAGTCTGGGGTCTAGCCAACATACAGGGTGTTTTAAAAAACATTTTCCGTCTCTCGTATATACAGAATGTTCGGCCATTCTTCAACGTTACGTCATAATTATTTTAGTTATAGATTAGTTCATATTTATGTTTATAATGTTGACATTGATCGATGTCCGTCAATAAAATTATAACAAAAGATGTTATCGTGGAAAGAATTTATCGGGCAAGCCTACAGTAAGATTAGCCATGAATCATGACTAAAACATAACTACCCGTAGACACTCAGTGTTTCTGCCTTCCGGCTTCATCAATACGGGAGGAATCAGCAACGATGAACTAGTGATCCTGAAAAAAGCAAAAGGGAAGCAAACGAGGCACAAAAGGCCCCATTTGCAGCCTGATTAATTTAAAGTCCATTTTCTTGTTTTGCTGTTAACTTATACGTGATATTTCTTAATGTCTAGTGACAGGGTGAACAGGGTAACGTTAAATGAAAACAAAAGAAATGAAATTGAATACTAGTGATATTGACTAAAAACAAATAAAAAAGGGATACTGAGCCGCTAGTGATGTAAAATGACCGTCATTTATAATTCGTGACATATGACGGTCATTTAACGGTCATAATGTGTCATTTTGGGTCATTTTGCTTTTACTCGCTAATTCACACTATAAAATTCTAAAATACGTTTAAAACGAACATTTAATAAAGTTTTAAACAAAGTAATGACAAAAAAACTTTATTCTTCTAATTATTATAATATATTATGTAGACTGAGTAAGAAAAAAACATATTCATGGCAAATAACAAATAAACATTGAAAATAAACTCAAAACAAGTAAAAACAACGCTTAAAAATAACGTTATATGTACAATTATGAGCAAATAAACATTAAAAAGAAACTGAAAACATTACTGAAAAAAAAATTAATTAACCAAGTTCGTTTTCGCTCTCGTCATCCTGAGTCTCATTCGTTTCAACTTCATTGTCCGACTCCGACCCCATTTCAATTTTTTCATCGGTAGACTCCCTTGAGCAATCCTCGCTGCTACTATGGAGGATTATTGTCGATGCTCCCGCTGAGGTAGAAGGACCAGCTTCTGATAATGGTTCCTGATGTGAATGTGGTAGCATTGCATTGACACTCCCTTGCAGCTCTTCTGCAGCTTGAAGAAACAATGTTTTGTTGTAGACTGCTATTGATGCTACCAAGGTTTTTAATTTAACTTACCGATAAGGTTGTGTGTTGGGACAAACTTATTGGCGTCCAAAGAACCGGAGCTTTATTTTTTTTTAATTGATTGAATCAAAATGACAGTCATAATGAAAATGACTGTGGTCATTTTAATATTTGAC